CCCCCCACCCGCCCCTCCTGACGACCTCTCTATTTTCCATTAGTCTCGCGTACAGCTTCCATATCCGAGAGCACTTAAACTTTGCCCGACCCTCTCGTCCCCGGAGGTACCATATTTTTTTTTAAATAAATATCAGAATGATTTATTTATTTGAACCGGAAAAGAGAAAGAGAGGAAAAGAGCGTACACGTGTGTGCCGCCTCGAACGAAACTACCGCGTCCGACGAAAGGGTTAAATCTCTCCGAATCATCTCGGAGAGGGCTTTAAAAATTCAATAAAAGGCTCGGACGAGCAAATGGATCTTAAATATAACATCCCTCCAATTCAACGTGTCCCATCGATATCCTATTAGGGGAGGGGAGAAAATGGACGACGCGGAGATAAAGCGGCGAAACTGTCCGCTCTCTCGTGCTCTCTTTCCTTCTCTCTTTTTTTTTAAATTTACATAATTGAAAAGGAGGAGAGGGGGGGGGGGGGGGGGGGACGCGACGCGCAACGCGAAAAGTCGCGAGACGATCATTTCCAATTTCGAACTAATTTTACGGTCAAATTGAAAACGACGCAATCGTTGTTATTATTATAACCGAGAACACCGCTTATCGATCGGCAAGGGCCATTAAACTCGAAACGACAAAATATAGTTATTTCATAGATGAATGGAGGACTATTACGTTCGAATGGCTATTAACAATTTGGTGCGGCCTGGTGATCAATTATTATGTATTCATTTCTGTATGCACGTACACGCCGTACGTGTGTGTGTGTGTGTGTGTGTGTGTGTGTGTGTGTGAGTGTGCGAGTACACATGTGCGATATAGTTTAGAATCGTTGGCACTCTTTTTTCCCCCCCAACTCACCTTTAAACGCGAAGTCAACGATTCTCCTGCCGTACTTACGAATTAATAGGAGCCGTCAGCTCTTAATTCAATTATAACGCATGCCGCGCTCGAGTGGCGCGCGGGAAGAATTGAGAATGCGCGCAAGAAGCGTGAATAAAATTGGTTGTCGCCGATATCGGACTATATTTGTACGCATCGTTAAGGACCAACCGGTTGAATAACCCAGATCTGCTTAATTCCGACGCTGATGTGTAGAACGTGCCATGACGCGCGCGCGAATAACGTGGACCGTCGAGATTTTTCATATCTCTTTCTCGCGAACGTGAATACATATAACGAATATATACTCGCACCGCGCGATCGTTGACGGATGAAAATTTGATTCGCGACCGACTAATCAAGTCGCTTACTCGGCACACACCGACACGTCAGACCACATTAAAACGTCACCGTGATACATGTATATGTACATCTATGTATACGGATATATATATATATATATATTATATACATATATATATATATATATATCCACTTCTCTTTTGCTCAGTAACAATAGAACAACATTTACTATTCTGCTCTCATACAGAAAGACAAACACGAAACTCGCTCCACGGACTATCCTTTCTTCATCCTCTCCCCTTCTGCTTCTCTTTGCGGTCGCTCCAGATCCTCGAATGCTCTCGCGGACTCACGGAATCGAATTCCCAAAGAACACGTGTTCCCGAGTCCTCGAATTCACGGATTCTAGGAGCGCCGCGAATCATTCTTGAGAGGGACTACAAGCATAAAAATAACCGTAACTGAATCGTGAAACGTAAGTCGTTGCTGTAGGTTGATCAAAACAATCGTGCGTTGATCTACGACTACGACTCACGTTTTACAACTCGGCCATCTTTGTGCTGAGGTCCGGAGTCGCGAGATCCGCTGATCGCGAAAGAATCCGAGAATCCCCGTAAAGTCTGTGTCACACTACGCGTTGCAGATATGGTTGAAATCTGGATCGCGGAAAATAGAGATTTACCAGTTCTGCGATTGGCAAACTGAATCCTTCAATCTGATCGACGATTAATCTGATCAACGATTCATTATGGTTCGTAACTCTATGGAGTCCTAGATAATTAGAGATTTGACATTGAGTTGATTAGATTAGTTCTCTGCTGCCATTTTATAATAATTAGCTGATCAAAAATGCTTCAAAGCATTTACAACAGCTTGACTTGTATATTCTGTGATAACCAATCGTACTCTTCTATGATGAATCTCGGATCATCTAGGACTCTGATCATCTATGACTCTACACAATCAGAATCCAATTTGTGTCCGCAATGCGTGATGTGACACGAGCTTTAAAACCCATGTCACACACTATGGATTAGAGATTGAGAAATGTGAATTGGAGATTAGAATTCAGTCAATCAGAACGAAACGGATTAAAATGATCCGACTAGTCGACTCAGTTCTAATCTCCAGTGTTCTGAATCTCCAATGTGTAGTGTGACACGGACTTAAAGCTCTTTTGGAGGAATCGTTTAAAAGGGATCCATGGATTCTTGCGCCAGCAAAATTTCACTTCTCATCCCGCTCCTTACTTATCACCTGTATACGAAAGAAAGAATGCGCATCTTTATGACACACTTGCATCCGCCCCCTGCCCTATTCGTACCCCTTTAGTGATATGTATGATTTATTACCAGCCAGTAGCTCTAAGTTTGAAATTCGTGTATGCAACTCAGTTCCTTCCTATAATGACTTGTGTACATTGCTACGTTACGTACCTATTTACCCTTATTAATGTATATCTGTCTTGAACGCGAAAACGAAGAGAGAAAAGATAACAACGACCTATCAAAAAAAAAAAAGAAAAATACAAAAAAGAGAAAAGGTCGTGCGACATTCAGCCATGTTCCTACTGACTAACATCGGTCTTTTTTTCTGCTTTCAGCTGCACAGATTCCACAACGCGGAAGTAAGTACGATTAAATTACGTTTGAAAAACCACAACTGCTCTCTCAACCTCCTTCCCTCCCTCCCTCCCTCCCTCCCTTCCAATCCCTCTTCCCTCCTCTTCCTGTTCGCCCACTTTTGCACCTTTTCTCTGTAATTGCGATTATCGTCGTAAAACCGTTCATGGAACGTAGAAGCGAGGATGCGGAACTACGCGGAAAATGTCACGGCACGCCAGTGTCGGAGTCTTTCTGTTTCATGAATGGAAAACGCGATTTGAAGGACTTGATTAAGCGGTCGGTGCGATGCGAGATCCCACCCTCCCGAGTCGAGACTCATTCCCGAGTATTGCTTTGGACCGTGTAGATCGCATCTCGATAATGGGCGCTTTGTTTTGATTAGTGTAAATTCTCGCAGATCTTAAAGAGTCACAGGTACGCAAGAAACGCGTAAACGTGTAATTAAAAAATGTTATTCTCTCATAATTTCTTATCTTGAGTTCTAGGATGTTTATATAGTTTAAAACTTAAAATATTTCATCCTATACTTTAATAATCATTTAGCCCTCAAAATTTTTTAATTTTTTGTGTTTGGAACAATTGTTAGATATCGTGACTGCAGAGGCCTCGAATCTGAAACTAGTCGATTTTTGTCCGGCAACAAAAAATCTAAAAAGTTAACCAGACTGACCATCTCTGATTAACTTGATCGGTCGATCAAAAATTGCCAACTGCAAAAAACTTAAAAAACTGATCATATTATTTTGTTTTCCTTAATTTTTTATAAATTATAATTCATGTAAAATACAATATTTTTAATTAAATAATTATGTAATACATTTAATTAAAATGATTAAGGGATTAAGTTAGGTATGATTAGTTTTACAATTGACAATTTTTACTCTGAAAAATTATTTTCCCGAGTAATAATCTCTTGTCATTCAAAAAGAATCGAAATTAAGCGCTATTACCGAGGTTTTATCCAACGATTATCAATCTTCTCTACGAACTTAATCAGGAACCTCCAAATATATGTACATTTCGAATCTCAGTTGCACGTCGTATTTACGTAAATGGGAACGCACGCGTGAACCGCACCGTTCTCTCTCTCTCTATCTCTCTTTCTTCTCCCTCTCTGTATCTACATCTCTCTCTCATGAATTCCTCTAATTTCAGCATGCAAGAGGAAAGACGAGATGGCGAACCAGGCAGAACACCAACAGCCCGCCCCCAAGAAACCGCGGCTGGTTTTCACAGACCTTCAGCGCCGTACTCTACAGGCTATTTTTAAAGTGAGTACCGTGTGCGCGCGCGCGTGCACACACACACACATACGTACACCCAACACGTAACTTCTTACCCCTTGTGATCGATAGTAATTGCCCTCTTCTTCTCTGTCCCCTCCGACGATATGCACAGGCAATTGAATATTGAGAGAGCGCTACCGCCGCTGACTGATCCGCTGCTTGTTAGCGGGGACTAACTTTCGCGGTCGAAAGCGCATATAATATATATACGCGAGTTCGAACTTGCACTCATCGCATTCGACTCGCGAGGACACCTGTGTCCTTTCCTCGATCGATAGAGGTTTTCTTAAAACGTAGCCTCTACACAAGAGGCACCCCTCCTCCTCACCCTCGCGCCAAGTAAACCACGACATAGGAAACAGATGGTACACGCAATCGCGGAGTTACGTAAGAGCCTCGACGAGGTTTCTAAATACCGAGCAGTTTCGTGGGGAGACTAACCCTTTTCCGAATAATGACTATTTACTCGCGGAAATCGCGACGAGGGAGCGTCGTCGGTGCGTGTCATCCCGGTTTCCACCCTCCGCGGGATGCTGTTGGTTCCGAGGGTAAACAGGGAAATAAATTTTACCAGCGCCTTGTTCGCGCAGCCTATTATTCTTAATTTGGACTGTATATTCCAAAATGTCCTCTCCAAGGAAAATTTTACTAAAAATGTATGGTGCACGTAACGTATATTATCATGGGAAAAAAAGATTTATTAAAACAATTAAAAAACTTCACTGATTCAGCACATCTACGATCACTATTTCTTTATCCAAAAAAAGATCCATGACTTTTCCCTGATTTCCAAATTTTATGATTTTCCTTGACTTTCAATAATATTATGAAATTTTGTATTATATATTTTCGTCGTAATTTGAAAATTGTTAAATATTTTATTGAGGGATCAATTTTACATAGCAATGTTTATGTTGCTGACATTGCTTGCATTTTTCATTGTTAAGTTGATAGTTTGTTCCCAAAACAGCTGCACAGCTGTGATGCACGTATATTTAATTTCTTTGAAGCCAAGAATTTTTATTTTCTAGAAAATTTTGCTAAATTTCCTTACTATTCCCTGATTTCCTTAACTGTTTTCCTTAATTTCCTCGATTCCCAGTTTTGTGACAATTGTGTAGTATATTGTTAATTTTCTCTATTAAAATAGCAAAAGCGTATAGTTGAATAAAATTATAATTAATTAAAGCGATTATATATAATCATATTCCCTATAACACGATAAATTTATTACTGCAGTGTAGATAACTTTCTATCATGCGAGTCAATCCAATATATAAATCAAAATGTTTAACAAAATATGCTAGCTAAAATGGCGTCGCTGCAATAAAGAAAACTTGTTATATAAGCAATTTGCATTGTAGCGAAGAATTAGCTGAATTATCGTATTAATAATTGCTTACAGAAATAACTTCTTCGTTGAAGCATCAAATCTTCTAGTTATACATGTTGAATTCGCGTAGCAAGCTATTATATAGTTTCGCTAAACTGTCTAATCTACTTTTGTCCGTGTACATAAAATATTGAGGTAAAGTTTTCTTCGAAAAGGACGTTATAGAAAAAAATCGTTTGGTCCCCGAAGTTTTCCCGCGACGGAAAAATACCGTCTTCGCAGCCGTGTCGTGCGGATACCTGAAATTCAGTTGTGCGCTGCGTCAACCGACCGCGCGCGCTCTCTCCGTCTATCGATCGGTCTTGAATAATTTCGCGGCCGGTTCTTTACTTATGCGCTCCGTATTTCAGCCCCGCTGATTGCAACGCCGCACTGCTGCCGCTGTCGGCGGTCGCCGTCGCCGTCAAGAATGGCCATTGATATTAACCGTTTCCTCATTAGCGTCGCAGGAAAAAAATAGTACTGCTGAAAACGCGCGTTTTCGGTCATCTCGTGCTCGTGTTTCCTCCAATCGTATCGTCACGACGATAACTGGAGTTCTTCAAGTTCGAATATCGTTTAGACCATTTTTTATTCGTCCACCGCTTGTTTTAAGCTCAATACGAACAAATTTATATTTTGATTTATTATTCTAGAGTTTTACTTATTATCGTAATAATAATATTTATATGTGTAACATTAAATTAGATTCATTTTTGGAATAATAAAAATTGCAGATTTTTAACTGATTTTATATATTTTTAGAAAGCGTATTATAGTTAGTTTGGAAATATCGGACAATATCCAAATTTAGAGTTCCTTAGATAAGAATTTAGATACCCCGTGAATAATTTTTGATTTATCCGCTATTTATTTCAGGTTTATTATGAAGAAATTTATATTATTGTTTTGCTAATATTTATTTTACAAACTTATTATAGTGATAATAATATTTTTGCATGTCGTATCCAAAAAAGTAATAAAGAAGAGGAACAAAAGAAAGTTAAAAATATAAAATCGTTCAAATTAATTATTATTATTATATAGGCGATATATAAATATAGGTTAACTTACTATTAAAGTTAATTATACAAATTGCTTGTCTCATTTCTCTAGAAATAATGTAGATATTAATTTTATTAAAATGTTGTGTTAACCTTAAAGACTAACCTTATTTTTATTTACGTCATTTTTTCCTTGTGCTATTTTTCTTCTAAATATTTAAAAATTCAACTAATGGTATTACTTTTTCTAAAGACTGATATGTATATTTAAAATACAATCCGCACATAATACAAAATTTAACAAATTTCGATATGAACTACTGAATTAGATTTATCTTATTTGTATGAATAAACAGCTTAAATATTAAACTAATTTGAATGGTTTGAAAAGAGTACTGTAGTTAACCTGAAAATATCGAACTGTGTCCAAATTTATTGTTAGACTTCTTTAATTAAAATTTTGGATAATGAGAATAATTTGAATAATTCAGACAATTAATTTTTGAATAAACTGCCATTTATTTTAGTATTGCGAAAAAATGTATGTTTTGCTATCATTTATTTTATAGACCTATTATTGTAATAATACTTACATACACAATTAAATTCATACACAATTATAGATTCATTTTTCTATTAATAGACTGCATGGATATTAAACAGAATGTAACATTTTTGATAAACGCATTAACCGGAAAATGGTAAAACGATTAAGGAACCCTATGCGCAATAGCCAACTTGAGTGACTCAATCGCGATCTAAAAGACGCGTTATTGGACCAATGGAGAATTTAAAAAAAAAAAAAAAAACAATGGTACCCATTAATGCAGTCAATCCGCGGAATCAAACTCGGAAAATCGCGAGCTCTACATCTCGTTACGTCCGCGGCTATTGCGAACTACGATTACAATTACAGACAGATGCGGAACAATGAAAAGTGATAACACGTTTCCGATGGCGATAAATTATCGCATAAATAGCGATGCGGGGAGGAGAAAGAGAGAGGGGGGGGGGAGGAGGGCGCATACGCGAAATTGCCTTTTCTGCGAAATCAACTTTTCTGCTTTGTCGCAAAAGCGATTGCTTTTAGATCGAATAGAATTTTTTTCGCCATTGGCGACGGAGTGGGGGCGCAGGGGGAGGGAGGGAGGGAGGGAGGGAGGGAGGGAGGGACGCGAGTATTACTCTTAATGATCAATTTTTTTTCAGCCGCGGCACGCGCGTAAGGCCGCGGCGCACGCACACGTGCGTTTGTCGTTCGCATGAAATTTGATAAATTTCGACGAGTCCGCTCGATCGGCCGGATTATTGGAACGATATTTCATAGAACGGAATAATCCGGAATGCGATTGTAGAATCGGATAGGAATCACGCGTTACCTATTAGCCTGACATTCTATTTCATGAATATTTTCGGTTTGAAAGTCAATCGGAACGAACCGAAAGAATGGCTTAATCGGATTGATTTAATCAAGAAGCGGCAATGCCCAGATCGATTTCATTAAGAACTCGGGCCGCTAAGTGGCAAAACATTCAACTGAAATAAACGAAGTAAATTTGCCAAATCGAATATACTGTAATTTGCTGTGTGTTGTGTGGTGCATGTGTGTATGTAAATGAACAGAATGTCTAATTGAACAAAAATTACTTGTCCAGTTCGCACAGAAATATCATTCTTAACACATTAATTACTATAATGCAAGAAAAGGATTTTGCTGAAGTATCTAAAAATTTAGGTAGACATGTACAAATCTGATAATAACATTAAAATAATTATACAAGACGCTTGAACTGGTTGCTGAAATGTCAAAAATTCCTGCAGCATTTCACTCACCATGCTCGAAAGTGTAATTATTTTGATAGCGTGTCCACCAAAGTTGTTTTCAGAAAATCAAATATAAAATTTGTTGAGTATGTTAAGTATCTATAATACAAGGAATTCATAGTTTAAGGAATTCTCAGGGAAGGTCTTTTGAATGACACGGAGACATTGATAAGAAACGAATGCGTAACTGTTAATATCAGCCGATACAGTATTGGCCTCGTATGCGAAGCTTACGGTTGGGAACTATGCCAAACAGTTGAGGGGAGTCACGCTTGGCGCGACAATCTCGCGTTTAAGCGACGATCAAAGATCCTCGTGGAAACGCCCGCGAGAGTAATAGGATCTGGTCACAGCCTCTGCCCACGAAATTCCGAGTCGAAATAACCAAGCAGATTCGATTAGCGTTTCGTTTCATAAACAAGAATCATCTATCGAAGCTGCCGTAAAAAAATACAATGTCATTAAGAACAGTAGACTCACTCTGTCCAAAAAAATGTTAATATATTAGCACAATAATTATACAATACAACAATAATTGTCTCTCTAATCTAATTAATAACCGTATTGACATCAACAAGAAATATAGTAGATCTCCAGCAGAAAACCAAAGTTGCGACATTGAGTTAGTTAGTCCAGTCATCGATGGTATTTTTTACTAAATGTACTGATCGACTATTTAAATCATGTGATTACAGTGCCAGTTTCTTTCCTTACTTATGATAGCAATCAGACTCTTTAGTCTTTTTAAGTATTTCAAAATTCACTTCATAGTACTGATGAAAAGC